CACAGAGGGGCCTGCGCGCCGGGAGCCGCGGAGAGGAGGGTGCAGAAGGGGGCGCGCAGTACTGGGCTGTCCTCGGTGCGGGAGGGACTTTCCGGCAGGTGAGGGAGGAGATACATTCCGGTTGTTCAGGGGTCAGAAGCGGGAGGACTCTCAGGTGAGTGCTCCAGGCATGAAGATCGGGTCTCAACAACTGACCAGCTCTCGGAGCTGAGCAGGAGTGCAGTTGAGCCCGCTCCAGCTGTTTTGCCCCTGCCCTCGAGGAATTCAGGCAGACTGCAGGGGTGTGCACGCGGGAGTCTACCAAACCGTGACCGGCCCTGCCCGCGTGTTATATTAAGTTTTTAGCAGAGTGCCAGCATCTCTAGCAGTCGAGCAGAGTGGTGCAGACCGAGGGCTTGGGCCAGGCTGTCTGGCTGGGGTCGGGGCGCTGCCTCTGGCCGATGGAGACTGTCCTGCCACCCTCCCACACCCCCACAGAGTGTCACCGCCATGCCGTCCCCTCCTCGAGGTGCTGTGGGCTTCCACGAGCGAGGTGTCCAGAGGGCTCAGGCCTGCGTGCTGCTTCCTAAGTGCTGACCTGTGTGCATGTTCACCTGGCAACAAAGAAAGCGTGGCTTTGACTGAAGCCGGGCAGGTTCCTGCCTGCACCCCCACCCCTGTCCCCAGCCCAGGTGTTTGGGAAGTGGGGCTCTGAGCTGGAAAATGACTGAGTGCATTACTTTTGCAGCCTTGCAGTTCTTTGAAGGATTACTGTCAGTGATATTATTAATATGTTCTTAAGATTTTTTTGGACCCCTCTCCAAATGGTTTTCAGGAATTCTAAAATGAGATGCTTAATAGCAAAAGTAAAAAACATTTGGGGAATGGAAGAAGACTTGGAGGAAAAATAAAACTTGGCATCACAGAATTTAAATTTTGGAAGCAATGTCATTAATAACTGACTCTTACTATTTTAAACTTGGTAATTATATATAAAATTGTAGGAGAGAGGCATAACCAGTGAGTTAATTCTTATCGTAAGTTAAAGTCACTTAGTCGTGTCTGACTCTTTGTGACCCCATGGACTGTACAGTCCATGGAATTCTCCTGGCCAGAATACTGGAGTGGGTAGCCTTTGCCTTCTCAAGGGGATCTTCCCAACCCAGGCATTGAACCCAGGTCTCACAGCTGGATTCTTTACCAGCTGAACCACAAGGGAAGCTCAATTCTTATCATATGTGGTGAGAAAATAAAAAAAGCATGCTTTAAGACTGGATGTCTGCTCTTTCTCCATGTTGAGATCTTATAAGTAGTTTCTTTGCTATTCTTTGGGTTCATTTTTGCAATATCCTGCAGTGGTGTCTTTACATATATATATATATATATATATATATATATATATATATATGATTTCTGATATATTTATGATATATGATTTCTGTGCAGTGCTTTTTGAAATACAGCATTTACAGTATGTTGTGGGTCTTGGATTTACAATTAAAGAATATATAGTCTTTTTTTTTTTTTTGCTGGAAGGTTTCAAGTTGCATCTTTTTTGATAGAGTCAAAAGCACAGTAGATGTGCTCTATCTGCCTTTCTTGTTCACTGATTGCTTGAGGTAGGAGGCGTCAGACTTGGAATTAATGGTCAGTGACTTGGCTGTGCTCTGCGTTATTCAGTAAACCGTGGCCTCCATAGATACCGGTGCCTCCCCAAATTCCTGGCTTCTTATCTTTGCGTGTCTGTCTGTGTGCGCTGGGTGTGTGCACCTGTCTTTGAACCACTATGCGAGGGCCTGTCGCTGTTAATGATTAACACCTCGTGCCAAGAATGTGGGTTTTCCATTACTAGAATGGCCTGTGCCAAGCAATTAAACACATAGCACTGCCTAGTAATCTCAGCAGCCAGAAGAATGTTTTTGTGTGCTTCATAATTTCAAAGAATCCAAAGGGCTTCTGATACCCCAGACTATTTTTTTTATATATATACTTTTAAATGCTTTAAAACTCATTCAGAAGGAAGAGTACTTGGCTACTTTCTCTTTGATCTTATTTTTTTCTCTTATGAAGTCTTAAGCAAGTGATTTTTTTTTTTAATTTATAAAGTCCCTGCACAGGGTTTTACATTTTAGTTTGAGACCGGGAATTAAAAATGGTTTCTTATTCAATTACTGTGGCAATAACACAAAAAGCCTAAGTGAATTTACAGCCTTTATCTCTTCCTTATGCCATTTCATTCTACAATAGCTAATTGGGTTGTTATCTACACTCCTGAAAAGTAATATCTTAACAGAAGGGCAGACAGTAATGAGTTAGAAGTTGACCGGAATGATCCTCCCCAAATACACTACAGTAAAACCTCCAGTTTGAACAAACTGTAAAGCCACCAGTTAAATAATGGATTCCAGAATTGTTTTAAACAGCTAGTGTTTTCTTCTTTCTTTTTCCTTTTCAAGTAATAAATAGTTATTTATATTTGGTACAATATAATGAAGAAATACTGGTCTCTCCTTATAAATCAGCTGATACATATTAGCAGAACTGATTTGAATAGTGATTGGTCTTAAGGAAATCATTTCTCTCATCATTTTGTTTATGAAATTTGTTTAGAAAAAAACAAATTGAAGGAATGTTTCAAAGCTGAGTTTCAGTCTACTTTGGTAGACTTACAGTAGTAAGATCAGAATTGATCCACAAAAAGAACCTTTATTTTTAGGACTCTCCTTTTTTTCTTGATATTACCTTATTTGTTTGTGGGAGGATGCTCCTCCATATTTATTTTCCCTTATGACTCCAGTCCCATGGCTCAACTCTCCTCCTTTCCATGAGCGTCTGTCTTGCAGTGATTCTTCACATCAGTACTTTTGAGGTGGCCTCTGGAAAGTATGGCCTCATATGAAGTGTGACATGTTCGCACCAAGCTTGTAGCTCTCTAAGTTCACAGCCCAAGGCTCTGCCTGAGAAGGTGGAGTTTCTCACAAAGGTTTTGGCATTAGGATCTGGGCTTCCCTGGTAGCTCAGATGGTAAAGAACCCATCTGCAATGCTGGAGACTCAGGTTCGATCCTTGGGTCAGGTAGATCCCCTGGAGAAGGGAATGGCTACCAACTCCAGTATCCTTGCCTGGAGGAGAATTCCATGGGCAGAGGAGCCTGGTGGACTACAGTCCATGGGATCTCAGAGAGTCAGACACAACAGAGAGACTAACACACACGTTCTAAGATTAAACTTGTCTGGTGCAGTGTAAACAAAAGTCTGCAAACGCCTGGCTTTCTTTGCGAATGCTTGATTTATGGCAGGGTAGTCTACAAGAGAAAGCAGTTCAGCACCAAAGGAAGTATTTATGTCTCTGATAAAGAACGGAACACGTTACAGAAATGGAATAAGAATGGGGATGTAGATTAAAAACTGTAGTGTTCTCAGTTTTACTAGTGAGTAATTTTTTTATAATAGGAATAAAAGTATTCTTCATAGACTTTCTATTTCTTACCAATTCAATAATTCTAAAACCAAAACTGAGAGGAAGTTACATTTTACTCAGTAAGCGTCATGACAGAGGGACTTCTGTTAGCTAATTCATGACATCCGTGCTGTGAAATGACAGTTTTCATCCATCCACGGGAACCTAAGCAATTCTCTGTGGACTGACTGTATTTTCCAGTGGCTTATCCTTTTAGAGCTGTTGCATTTTCATTTCTGATGGGCCTTCACCTGACTCCTGCCACATTAGCTTTACTTTTCCCCTTAGTCTCTCCACCACAGTGTGTTAATTCCCTAAGCAAATTCTTAAATGCCCTAAGGAAGTCGCTAAGGAAAGAAATCTGAACTGCTGCAGTCCTCGGTGACTAGAAGAATTTTCCTTTAATTAATCAAGCTTTCCCTTTGGCTTTAATGGGTCTTCTTTCTTTCTTTTTCCTAATTTTTGTTGAAGCAATGTTGTGTGAGTTTCTCCTGTAAAGTGATCAGCTCTGCGTATACTTATATCCCCTCCTTTTTAGATTTCCTCCCCATTTCAGTCACTGATTAGAGTTCTGGGTCTTTTCCAATGGGTCCTTCACATCAGCACTTGGTTACATTGTGTGTGCCAGGTGATTGTAAAGGCCAGAAAAGAGAGAGAGGGTCTTTACACTTGGGTATAAAGACACGTGATGCCTCTTCTTGCTTTTAAAACTAGAAGGGCCATGGACAGATGGGATCGGCGGCCCACAGCTTGACACCCTTCACACTTGAGCTTGTGGCCAGGTGCCCTGCATGCATCCCGTGGACGGGGTGCAGCCTGCCTGTGTCAGGGGACCAGCCCGTAGTGCCTCAGCCCAGGGGGATGCTTCCCTGCCTTCTTCTGAGTTGGGCTTTGAAAAAGGTGGGTAAAACTTTAGAAAGAACCTTGCAGGAAGAAGGGCAAATCTGAGAAACCGCCTGGTGAGGCACAAAATAATGATGCTGCGCTGTCACTTCAGTCGTGTCCAACCTTTTGCGACTTAGTGTAGCCCCCCAGGCTCCTCTGTGGGTGGGATTCTCCAGGCAAGAACACTGGAGTGGGTTGCCATGCCCTCCTCCAGGGGATTTTCCCGACCCAGGGGTTGAACCTGCATCTCTTACATCTCCTGCATTGGCAGCTGAGTTCTTTACCGTCTAGCGCGCCTGGTGAGACTCCAAACCCCATACTTAATGACGCTAATGGCCCCTAATACAAATGAGCTGCTGCTGCTAAGTTGCTCAGTCGTGTCTGACTATGTGACCCCATGGACTGCAGCCCACCAGGCTCCTCCGTCCATGGGATTTTCCAGGCAAGAGTGCTGGAGTGGGGTGCCATTGCCTTCTCCATACAAATAAGAACCATGGATGAAATAAGCCATTCTGCCCCCCACCCCCACCCCCAAAACAAAGCAGAAACACTCCAGAATTGCCAGATGGAGCTTGTGTGCCCCTGGCGAGCTGGGGTCCAGCCTGGCCTGTCCTGGCTGCGGGGAGGCTCCGGGAGGCCTGTAGTGACCGTGGTCCTGTCCCCTGTCCCGGCGGCAGGAGCTGCGCTCCCGGGAGGAGGAGCTGACGCGGGCCGCCCTGCAGCAGAAGTCACAGGAGGAGCTGCTCCGGCGGCGGGAGCAGCAGCTCGCCGCGCGGGAGATCGACGTGCTGGAGCGAGAGCTCAACATCCTCATCTTCCAGCTGAATCAGGAGAAGCCCAACGTCAAGAAGAGGAAGGGCAAGTTTAAGAGGAGCCGCCTGAAGCTCAGAGATGGCCACCGCATCAGTTTACCTTCAGGTACGGCCTGCCCCACGTCCCCTCAGAATGGTGTGTTCCTCCCTCCTGTCTGCTGTTTGTTTCATCTGAGCGGGGCTGAGATTTTATGGCTGAGCATCTTCACCTCTTGCTTCAGTTGCGGTCAGAACATAACGACCTAGTGAGTTTTCACGTGTGAAACAGCCTGGGGAGGGAGCATATTGCCAGGGACCAGAAGCAGTGTATCTGAGTGCGAGCATCCTCTCCTACTAATGATGTTTATTGTTTACTCCTTTGGAAATCAAAGCAGAATTCCTCTTTAGCTGATTGCATTGAACCAGCACTACACAACATGGTGAAAATCCAGAACAAACACATCTTTCTCAAAATACTTAAACAATCAAGAAACATAAAAGCAATGAAATGATTTCTTTGACCTCCACCGGTGGCAGACTTCTGTCTCTAATCATAATAGCAAGAAAAGTAGAGTACACGGAAGGATACAAACTCAAAGTAAATTAGCAGCAAAGAGCTGATTATTTATCTATATATTTAACATGATACAACAGTTTAGGGTTTTGGTCTTTTGGTGGGCGGGGGATAAGTCAAATGGAACATTTAACTTAAACCTCGTATTTAATTTTTTAACCAAATCAAAGTCTGAAATGAAGGAACAGAGGTATATTTTAACATCGTAATTTAAGCGAACTTTTCATTAGTCATCAAAATTGTTAGGCTACCTTTTAAAATTTGTTACCTTTTAAAATCTGAACGTCAATTTCTTGCTTCCACAAGGAGCTAGGCTGTTATCTGGGACACTGAGGTTGCTGTTCGCACCCTTAGCAAGGTATATTAAGTGCCTCAGTGATCGCCCATCTTCATCTAAGGGTTCAAAATTGTTGAGGTAAAAAAGTGAAAGTTAAAGTTGGTCAGTCGTGTCCAGTTCTTTGCGACCCCGTGGACTGTAGGCCATGGAATTCTCCAGGCCAGAATACTGGAGTGGGTAGCCATTGCCTTCTCCAGGGGATCTTCCCAACTCAGGGATTGAACCCAGTTCTCCCACACTGTAGGCAGATTCTTTACCAGCTGAGCCAGGAGGGAAGTAAACCAGTAATTCTAGGCAACCTTTTAAAAAATATTTTAAATCATTGTGATATAACATAAATGGATTATGAAGAACTGACTTATTGGAAAAGGCTCTGATGCTGGGAAAGATTGAAGGCAGGAGGAGAAGGGAACAACAGAGGATGAGATGGTTGGATGGCATCCCTGACTTGATGGACGTGAGTGTGAGTAAGCTCTGGGAGTTGGTGATGGACAAGGGAGCCTGGCTTGCTGAGGTTCATGGGGTCGCAAAGAGTCTGACATGACTGAGCGACTGAACTGGAGTGGATGACATGTTGGGAGAAACTGAACAGAATACAAAACAGCAAACATATGTCAGTTCATAAAGTTCTTCGATGTTCTGTGTTGCGCTTTGTTTAAGGTAATCTCCAACGCCCCTCTGGGTTTCACAGTTGCCTTCTACGGGAAAGGGTGATGACAGAGCCAGGGCTGCACCTGTGGGGTCGCTGTCTAGTTGCTTTAGTCAAGTCCAGCTCTGTCCACCTGTGGACTGTAGCCTTCCGGGCTCCTCTGTCCGCGGGGTTTCCCAGCAAGAATACCGGAGAGGGCTGCCACTTACTTCTCCTGGTCAGGGGCTGTTCCCCAGTCTCACATATCTCCTGCTTGACAGGTGGGTTCTTTACCACTGAGGCACTGGGGAAGCCCAGCCCATAGAGAATATGCAGTAGATGTGTATATCTGTGCATGTATCTGTCTCTCTCTATACGTATTACATCTTAGAGTGCTCTTTACAGATTCCAGTGTTCTCCTGAGATGTTAGTAACAGTAGTTTTGTTTTATGTAAAATATGTATACATTGTCTTGTAAAGATACTACAAAATCCTTGCAGCTTGCCATGTATTGTGACTTCTTTGGTTGCAGAAGAAGTCCTTAATTGATCAGAAAATTGCTGCTATGGGGTAGTCAGAAGTACACAGTATATACATCATTGATGAAGTGGTTTGATGAGGTGAGAACTGGCTATGTGGTCCTCATTCATTTTACCTTTGACCTCTTTGGGAGCCAAAAAAAAGGTGCTTTTCCAGGTTCTCTTCTAATGTTTGCTTTTAGCCAAAGTGTAACTTGAAAGACAACTCACTGGACTGTCTGGCATGTCAGACATAATTTAAAATCGTCTATTTTCTTTAAGGTAAGGCTTTTTTCTGCTTTTGATATAGACAATAGACAGTCAGAGAGGCATTCAGTGTGAGTTCTCTTCTCTAGTCCTGAGCTATATCATTGTTCTTCTATCTGTGTTGTGACCATATTACCATAATTAATATTCATTGATTCCCTGGGGAAACTTTGGAGAGGGGAGCTAATTAGGAACTGATGGAAAAGAAACTTGGGGGAAACAATGAAATCATTCCAGTGATTCTTTAATTCATGAGAGAGTGATTAAACAAAATATCACAGGGTCCCTGGGGTGGTGGTTCTCAAATTTTACTTGGCTGGTACCTTGCATTTATTCAGCACTAAGTGAATATATTTGAATATTTTTGATGGATTTGTATCATTCCTGGATAGTACTAGTTCCCTTTTCTGTTTCTGAGAATAGAGGGGTCATTTTAGTCACTTTTTTTTTTTACCTTGTGCCACTTAATAAAAGATTCTAGTTAAAACATAACCTCAAAATCTATTGCTATAGTCCTAATCCATTTTAAAGGCATGAAATGCAGTTTCTGTAATTTAGGGTGGTAGTTACCTCCTCTGCCCACAAGATGGTGCTACATCGCTGTGACACTGGTACCTCTATGGAAACTCATTAGAAATCCCCCGACTCTACAAGCCACTTCACCAACACACACACACAGAGTTTACTTACACAGTATCCCAACGTAGGACACACATCCAAAGATCCACAGAAAAGAATTAGAACTATAAAAACAATTATTTTTCTCCTTCAGTAGTTTTGCTTGGTGGAGAAAGCAATTATTTGTACCTTACATTCAATGGAGTTAGTGGATTCCAATATTATGATCTGTTAGAAAATTCTTTGAGTTACCAGATTTTAGTGCTATTTCATGGTACATAATTAAGGAAGAAACCGCTGGTAGATGACAGATTGGAGGGTGATACAACTTATTTTTCCAGCTACAAACTACTTAAATCCCTTTTGCAGGAATTTTTCCATGTCTATCTAGCTTAAAGAATTTCTTAGAAATGTATCTGAGACTCCGACGAACTGGTTCTTAATATGTATGCCTGCATTTAGATCTTTAATCCATTTTGAGTTTATTTTTGTGTATGGTATTAGGAAGAGTTCTAACTTCATTCTTACAGGACAGCTGTGTGTAAAAACTGGACAGCTGTGTTTCCCAGCACCACTTATTAGAGAGACTGTCTTTTCTCCAGTGTGTATTCTTCCTCCTTTGTCAAAGATAAGGTACCCATGGGTGCATGGGCTTATCTCTGGGCTTTCTATCTTGTTCCATTGGTCTATATTTCTGGTTTTGTTCCAGTAAAACTCACTAATAGTAAATAACAGTTAAGAAAATTTTAAAAGACTTAATTCCTTTTTTTTTTTTAAAAGAGATGGTCTAGATAAGATAAGTAATCCAGAGAGCTCTGGTCTCAAGGCATGGGGAGCAAAAATCAGGTTCTCCTAGTAGGAGGTATTCCCTTAGGGTAAGCATTCTAAGATATTTTTTCCTTCAAGCTTTCTGTACTGCTTGGGAATTAAACTGATTGGGGTTCAGTTAACCTTCAACTAGCATTGTGTACTCAATTGGTGCCATTGAAGGTTCATAATTTTCATAGATACCCCCTTATCTTTTCTTTTTAATTGTTTTGAAAAATTGGTCAGCCAGTGTAACAAGGGCATTGTGTGTGAGCAACTTTCACACACACACACACACAGATCAACCTAGATTGTCTTTTTGACTAGAGTAGCCAAATCCTCACCTAAGCCTTCTAAAAAGGTGGAGTTAAGCAAAGAATCATTTTGGTGGTTAGAGAATGATTCAGATGACAAGCCAGAACATTGCTTAAAAGTTCTTTCAAACAATTTTTATTAAATTTGAATAATTATCTAATTATTGTAATTTAGTCCTTCATAATCACTGATGACAGCTTGTCATCTTACGGCTATTTATAGCTGGGATGATTTATTGCTGGAAAACTCAAATGTAATTATTCCTGTTGACAATCCTGCGTAGCTACCTAATAAGGAAGGTGAACGATTATACAATGAGGCGGCATAATCTAAGAGTTGGTAAATTAAATTGTGTGCAGTCTTGGGACTTGTAGAGAGAGAAAGAATGGTTGTGGCAGATACATTTATACAGTGACCACTTTACATCACTCCTTCTGTATTATGTCCGTTTTGAACCCAAGTTGTGTTTTTAGAACATATAAAATAGATCAAAGAGGTTTTGAAACTTTCAGGAGTTGGTATGCCTCTAAAACCAGGGTATTCTAACTTCAACCACTTCACAAGAGCCAGAGGCCTGCCACACTCACCTGTCTGGCATGCGTGAATGTGAGCAAGCGTGTGTACATGCCTAGGGAGAGAAGGCAGAAGCCCCAAAAGGACTTTTCAAAGGATACTGCAACTTTTAGTGCAAAATGAGGATTCCCACTGAGCTGTGTCAGTGTCCTTCATGAAACATAAATATTGCCAGTGAAAATATACAGGTTTAATCAAAAGCCTGTGGACCACGTGATAACCTGCCATGAGCAGATGCCTTGAGAACAGGTCTAGCGAGCAGCCCAGAAAACACTGGGCATCAGCCAGGACCCCTTAACAGTTCAGCCTGAGTTTTCCTCAATCTGTAACTGGGACAGAATCAACCTTTCTCTGTTTCAAAGGAACAGGATGTTTATCATAAAGAATGTTTTGTTTATGTTTAAAGCACAGAGTGCTCTTTTTTTCCCCTGAGTACAAGTATTTGGTTTTTTTCAGAAAACCAGAAGCACTGTCAGTCTTAGGTATTATTAAGATCCAGTCTTGTGCCTTTGCAACTACCCTTGGCCTTAAAACCTTCCGTGTTGGCTCCCTGACCTGTGCCTGTCGTCTCTTCTCCCATCACTTGTTCTTCGTGGTTTTCCATTCAGATACTGTGGCCTGGTTCTGTTATTCTAGTTCTGAGGCCTGCGAGCGCACGCATGCCTTCTACTCTGGGCTGCAGGCTCCTCTCGCTATAAAAACTTCCATGTGCTTATATGTGCTCAATTGTGTCTGACTCTTTGTGACCCCATGGACTGTAGCCCACCAGGCTCCTCTGTCCATGGGATTTTCCAGGCAAGAATACTGGAGTTGGTTGCCATTTCCTCCTCCAGGGGATCTTCCCGACCCAGGGATCAAACCCACATTTACTGCAGCTCCTGCATTGCAGCTGGATTCTTTACCACTGAGCCACCAGGCTAGCTGAACCTTTATAAAGCTCTTCGGTCTAAATTGTTTCATATCTTTGGGTGAGAATATTTCTTTCTTTTCCTACTTATTTTCCTTCCCCCTAGTTCAGTTAGACGTCTGTTCTGATGAACTGTTTTCTTGAATCAATTCTTTCCCTTTCTTAAGCCGCTTTGCCTGGTCAGATCATTCTTTCTTAGATGGTAGGGGGACAGAGCTCCCATCTGGCACTTCACTTCCATCTGCATTGTCTTCACAACATGATCTCTGCGCTCATGAATACTGTGATCTCAAACAGAGAAAACACTCATTCAGCAAAGATTTGCTCAGCATCTTTCCTGTGCATGGCTCTGTGCCCATTTGGGGGAGATGTTGCAGTGATGGCAACTAACAACCCTCCCAATAGAGAACTAACATTGTATTGGAGGGGGTGAGTCTTAAGCTAATAATTAAACAAATATTCTTTTGTTTTGGCTGTAATTATTAACTATTGTGAAGGAAAAGTCATATGACAGTGATTAGTGGAGCGATGTCTCCTGATCTAAGGCAATCACAAATAGCTTCTCCAAGAATAAAAATTTAAATTGAGACTCAAAGTAGGAATTTGCCAAATATGTGGTCTGGCATGCATGCTCAGTCATGTTGGACTTTTTGCAACCCCATGGACCATAGCACATCAGACTCCTTTGCCCATGGGATTTCCCAGGCAAGAATACTGGAGTGGGTTGCCATTTTCTACTCCAGGGGATCTTCCTGACCCAACCAGGGATCAAACCCACATCTCCTGCATTGGCAGGCAGATTCTTTACCACTGAGCCACCTAAGAAGCCCCACCAAATTTGAAGGGAAGCCAAAGAACAGGCAGGAAGCACATGGGAAGAAGTTTGGTTTCTTTGAGGAATTGAAAAAAGACCATTATGGTTTGACTGTACCTGCTGGTCCAAATTCAGCCTCCCACCTCTTTCCTGTAGCCCTAAATAAGAACGGTTTATACACTTTAAATACTAGAAAAGAAGATTTTCTGACCCATGAATCTTCCAGGAAAGGTAAACTGCAGCGTCCATAGCAGCGTTGCGTTGGAACACACGCGTTTGTTTTTGTTGGAATGCTTTCCCGCTCCGTCAGCAGACCATGTGGCTCATAGGAACTGCAATATTTACTGTGTGGCACTTCTTTGGAAAAGCCTGCTGTCCCCTGGTCTAGACCATGGTGAGTGATGGGTGGCACAAACAACCCATGTCAGATTTGCAAGGAATTAGAGGGGATGTTATGATTTCGACCTATAATTTTAAGAATGATGAGAACCCTTCAAAGGACTTTAAGCAGGAAATGACAAGCATGTACCTCGTGATTTCCCTGATGGTCCAGTGGTTAAGAATCTGCCTTCCAGTGCAGGGGATGTGGGTTCGACCCCTGGTTGGGGAACTAATATCCCATGTGCCTCGGAGCATCTAAGCCTGTGTGCCACAACTACTGCGTCCGTGCTGCAGCAGAGACCCTCACAGCCACAAATAAATAAGCAAGCAGGCCTCTGGCTGTTGTGAGGTAGATCAGAGGGCTCAAGTGGAGTTGCTGGAAGATGATAGACCAAAGGATTGGAGCAGCCTCAGCGTGAAATGGTGGTGGTGGAGATGGAGAGAACAGGAAGTGTCATTAATGTGTGTTAAGTATTTTTTATGCTTACATGCTTAGTCACTCAGTCACATCCAGCTCTTTTGCGACCCTGTGGACTGTAGCCCACCAGGCCCCTCTGTCCATGGGATTTCCCAGGAGAGAATACTGGAGTGGGTGCCAATTTCCTCCTCCAGAGATGGAACCCCAGTCTCCTGTATTGGCAGAAAGATTCTTTACCACTGAGCCACCTGGAAAGCCCAAGTACTTTCTGTACTTCTTTGTATTTAAGTTTTCCTAACTGTCCTGTGAAGTGGGAATCATTATTTTTTCCATTTTTGTCAATGAAGATGCTGTGACTTACAGAGATGAAGTCACTTTCCACAAATTCATGTGGCTAGTAAGTGGTAAGTTGGGCTTCACATGTGGAGTTTGCTGACTCCAGAACCTGGAATAGAAATTTCTCAACAATAGTTCTAAGAAGAATACAGAACAGAATTTACAAGATATTTTGTGTTTGATTGGATGTGGAAGGTTAGGGAGAACACAATATCAAGGAAAGCTTCAGATTTCTAACATGAGTAATTGGATAGCTGTCTTGTCTACCAAATTCGAACTCCTCATTCAATAACATGTGCTTCTTGAAAGTATAATTATTTTATACAATAAGGTAAATTATAGCTTTCTTACAAGTGTAAAATGAACATGTCAAAGATTTTATTTAATTAATATTGATTAATTAATATTGATTAATTAATATTAATGGGGAATTAGTTAAAACTGGTTCACATGGGTATTTGAGGAGCTTAGTATTTATGGTCAATTTAATAAAGAAATCTTAGCATTCGATTGCTAGGCTACATACAAACTTGGTTAATGCCCAATATGGCAATAAATAATAACCTTTGGGATTTTCTTTCACACCAGGCAAAAATTATTTGCATCGTCACCAGACTAAATCTACAAGTTAACCTCTGTGTCTACTGAGTTGTAAAAATAGCCCCATCAATATAAAATTAGTCAGAGGTTAAGCTTGACACCATGATGAAAGAATACCCAGTCATTTCTTTTTCCTGCTTCTAAGTTTTCAATACTTTTTCTGACAGTTTACAAAGTTTTCTTTCCTCTGGTAATATTACTTTTCTTTCATATGTTCCCATAGTTCTTGGCATTTCGTCTGGCATGACTGTATCACAGTTAGATAATAATAACCATCATCTGTAGGTACCTTAGCCACAAAATGCTTTTAACGTTTAGGCTGACCCTAACTGGGTCTGAAGATGAAGCTGACAAAGCCAAATCAATAGGGGAAAAGCATAAAAATGTGTTTAATATAAGTTTCTGTGACATGGGAGCCTGCATAAGGAAATGAATACCCCCAAAAAAAACCAGACCTGAATATTTCCATGCTAGGTTGATGAAGAGTGAACCATCTTGTAGAAATGTAACAGGTTAAGGAGTAAATGTGGCTTCCTGGGTGGCTCCGTGGTAAAGAATCTGCCTGGAGTTTGATCCCTGGGTCAGGAGGATCCCATGGAGGAGAAAATGGCAACCCACCCCAGTGTTCTTGCCTGGGAAATCCTATGGGCAAAGGAGCCTGGCGGGCTACAGTCCACGGGGTCATAAAGAGCTGAACACGACTGAGTGGCTAAACACCACCACAGAGGAGCAAGCGTTGGGGCAGCATGTCCTGAACCCCACATGAGGAGGGTTTCTGTTCTAATCACCACGGCAGCCCCGCGGTGGTGTCTGCCGTGCTAGTCAAAAGCCGCGGAAAGCGGCTCCAAGAGGCGCCCTGCTGGGCTGGGGTCCACAGTCAGTGACAGAACCAGGGCGCGTTAACCCAGGCTGTCTCCTCTTTCAGTTTCCTGTCGACTGTGTCGGCCTGAACGCAGGGAGCTCTTTTTTCCGGAAGACTGCTGGGTTCTGCAGATGCTCAGTAATAGTTCATTTCCTTCTGAGTGTGTGTGTCCCAGTGTGCTGCCTCCTGTACCAGGATTCTGAGTCATTATTTGTGGACTCGAATCCTGAATGAAGGAGAAGAAAGAAAACAGGAACAGACTCTGAGACATACCGTATTCTTACTGCCTGGCAGTTTCTGCTTTTATTGCCACATACCAAAGACGGGGCTCTGAAAATCACCTAACACCCTCAAATCTCAGTTCTCATTTTTCTCCCCATGTCCAACAGACTTCCAGCACAAAATAACGGTGCAGGCGTCCCCCAACTTGGACAAACGAAGAAGTCTGCACAGCAGCAGCTCCAGCCCTCCCAGCAGCCCCACGGTGATCCCCCGCCTCCGAGCGATACAGCGTAAGCTCTCCCCCTTGGGGTCTTCTGGGTGGGTTTCTGTCACTAGTGGACTTGGATTCAATTTAAGCAGACATGTTTTTATAACTGGTTTCTAAGCATGTGAAACACAGGAGGTATCACAACTATTTGGAAATCAAAATTTTCTTCTTAGTCTAATTTTCTTATTTTCACAGTAAATGATTTTTAGACTCCGCACAATTGGTGACGTTAACCAGGCCACAGAGTAGAAACTCAGATGAGATCTCAAGACATTTTGTGGAGCCTGTACCTGCGACGTTTGTATAACTTAATTACATCAGTAGCATACTTGTGAATATTTTGAAAACTGAAATCCAGAATATGGGGTTACTTCCAGTTGTTTTGTAAAGAAAACAGTATCCTGCTTTTGGGGATTTAGCTCTCATTTGGTGTGTATTGACCAACCTAATGCACATGGCCCCCACGTTAGGGTAATTCGACTTAGGGTTTTTTGACTTTACGATGGTTTTAAACTGATTCACGTTCAGTGGAAACCATGCTTTGAATTTTGATCTTTTCCTGGGGAGTGATGCAAGGCACCCTTCTCTCTCAAGATGCTGGGCTCCCAGTCAGCCCTGCCGTCATGAGGAGAAATAAGCCATATACTCACAGCTGCTCTGTTTTTCCCTTTCACTACTGGATTCCGTCAGTTACATGAGATATTTAACTTTATTATAAAATAGGCTTTGCATTCGATGATTTTGCCCAACTATAGACCAGTGTGACTGTTCTAAGCGGGTTTCCCAGGTGGCTCAGATGGTAAAGAATCTGTCTGCCATGCAGGGACACGGGTTCATTCCCTGGATCGGAAAGATCTCCTGGAGAAGGAAATGGCCTCCCACTCCAGTATTCTTGCCTGGGAAATCCCATGGACAGAAAAGCCTGGAGGGCTACAGTCTACAGGGTCACCAAAGAGTCATACACAACTTGGCAACTAAGCAAACACAGTAACTCTTCTCAGCACATTTTTAAAAATTAATTAATTTATTTTAATTGGAGGCTAATTACTTTACAATATGGTAGTGGTTTTTGCCATACATTGACGTGAATCAGCCATGGCGGTACATGAGCACATTTAAGGTGGGCTGGGCTAAGCCATGTTTGGTAGGTCAGGTGTATTAACTACATTTTCAACTTACGATGGTTCATTGGGATGTAACCCCATCATAAGTCGAGGAAGATCTGTCCTTCAAAATACCACTTAGTATTTGGTTTTAGAGTGTTCAGCCTAGTGGAAAAAATACATAAACTAATTCATCAAGCCGTGCGAGCTTTAGTTAGACCCGAAGTGTATATTTTTACCCCCTGTGTAGATGTGACATAATGTTTTCAGCTGTGTTTTTAGGACCTCTGGTGTGTGACAGGATTGTTTTCCAAGTGTGTAGCAACCACAGCCACTCTCCCCATGATTCTCAAGCAGAGAGGGGCTGGGGGAGGAGGCAATTGTGTCATACGTGTGTGTCAGCAACAGGTGGAGGTCAGACGTGAGTGTAAACCTCCCCACAAGGGAATGGAATAAGGCAAGATGTGGGAAAACTTGTATGTGTTCAGATTTTAAAAGGTAATTGTAGCCAAACAGTTGTGATGACTAAGGAAATAGTAGCTGAAATTAGTTTCAAAATAGACCTTTGTTCCTTAGGTTCTAAACTTTGATTTGGTTAAAAAATTAAGTACTAAGTTAAATGTTCAATTTGCCTTTTTTTTTTCTCCCAAGTAAAATGAAATCCTAACTATTGAATCATGTTAAATGCATAGATAAAGAAATAATCAGACCTTTATGGCTACCTCAAATTAGTATCTTTTACTTTTCTAACTATTACGTTTAGAGACAGATGTTTGCCTTGAGTAGGGTGAAAGAAATAATTTCTTCATTGTTTTCATGTTTCTCAATCATCTATACACTTTGAGTAAGATAGTTTTACAACTGATTTGATTCATCCTAAAACTTAAAAAAATTGTAATTGGTTAATGAGTGATGCTCTCTGTTTAGTGACCTCAGATGAAAGCAATAAAACTTGGGGCAGAAACACCGTCTGTCGACAAGAAGAATTTGAAGATATAAAAAGGAATTTCAAGAAAAAGGGTTGTACCTGGGGTCCAAATTCGATTCAAATGAAAGAAAGAACTGATTGCAAAGAAAGGTACATGTGTGACATTGGTGGTATTTCAGTCTGCACTGTGACACGGGGCACTGCTTTTTTATTCATTTACTTTTTACCGGGGCCTTTTAAATGTTGCATTGGCCAGACATACCTTTTAAAAAGCAGTTAGAGTAATACAAAGATACCTGAATAGTAAGTTAACTTCTAGGACGAGCTTATCACACTAAATTAATTATTATTTGGTTAAACAGTAAAAAATGCTTTTCCTGTCTCGTGTTAAGGTTTTACTGGCGCTTTGTTAGCTCTGTAAACACAGGGTCCAAATGTGTTTTCTTTACCACCTAAAAATGTTGTTAATGTGTATTTACCAAAACCTAATTTGTGTTTCATGTGGTTCTATTATATCAAAATAAACATTTTTCTCTTGTAGAATAAGACCTCTCTCAGATGGCAACAGTCCTTGGTCAACCATATTAATAAAAAATCAGAAAACCATGCCATTGGCTTCATTATTTGTGGACCAGCCAGGTAAATGGATTTCAGGGAACAGACTTAGCATCTGAGTGCTCTGGAAGTGATGTCAGAAGGGTTAGCAGCATCAGAGTGGCAGTGGGGTGGACTGAGCTTGAGCTCAGTCCTGGCAGGCTTCTGGCAGAGAGTGGTCATCAGGCTCCACGCTGTTTACTAGGAATTTGTAACTCCTATTCTTTACCAGAAAAATTAGTGTAATTTATTAGATAGATCCAAATTAATTGAGTATGAATATGAATAATGGAATATGAAAATGTAGGCACCCTGAAATTTTACTGAGGTTATATTCCCACCCCACAACGTGATAAAATATTGTCAAGCTAGTTAGCTGTGGAAAACTACTGCTGGAGAGTATTACATTGGAATCTCTAATTTAAGTAAGTCATCATTGCTTTCAATATTCAACATTTTCAACATTCCTGTTCAGTGTTCAGATATTAAAAGATTGAAGAGACATGGCAGCTGTTGAAAACCTTCAATGGCGGCTGTCATCAAAGAAGACAAAATTGGTCTTTACCCTCAACAACTTAAGACAGCTCTTTGATACTGTGATGAAAGGAAAGATGCTTTAGCTAAACATGGTATAAACGTCTTGAATTTATTATCAGTGCTGTGTTCAATTTTACACAGACCTTATCACTCACTGTTCATGTTTAGTTTTCTTCTTCTGTGTTATCACAACCATGTGGTTTCAGCATAAATATCTGCGTGAACATTGAGGTAAACAGAGGCAGGTGCCCTCTGAATCCTGGATTCAGAGCACTTTCTGACACCAGATTTGTTACTGTGCGCTGTCTGACACCAGATTTGTTACTGTGCGCTGACTCTAGGCAAGAGGTTCTCTCTGTATACTGCAGTGCGTCATCAAATGTCATTTGAGGAGTCATGAAGGGCAGTTAATAGTAACAAAGCTGTTATTTCTACAGTACATGTTTCATTATTTGTGACTGGAAAGTCCTCCTGCCTTTTTTTTTAATGTTTTTATTCTTTCTTAGAATATTTTGATCCTATTAATAACTCCTCCACAGGACAGTTGGAGGAAGTCAAAGGATTTATGTGGCTGACCCAGCTGGGTCTCCACGAAGTTAACCCTGTAGTTCATTGGAAGGGTCAGTGAGCAAAGGGCTTACACTGTCTGTCCTGCCTGAAGGCCCCCTCCCACCTCCCATCTGTGTGGCCTGGTCCTTCTATGAGTTTATGTCTCAGCTCAAGCATTTCCGGAAAGCCTTCCCTGACCACCTCAGCTGAAGTATCTCACCCCAGCCCTCTACCTCAGTACCTGTTTTTATTTATTTATCACTGTTTTGTTTTTTTTCTCTCATGAGGCAGATTTTTCTTTCATTCTTCAAGAAAGAAAAGCACGCAAAAGCACACAAAGGAAATGCAGAAAAATATGGTAGGGTAAAAGTGACACAAGCCAGAAGATTCAAGCGGGCTTATTTTGTTGCTCCATTTTCCCCATAACATTTTTTGGTTTTGTTTTTATTTTTTAATTTATTTATTTTCAATTGGAGGATAGTTGCTTTACAATATTGTGTTGGCTTCTACCATATATCAACATGAATCAGTCATAGTTATACCTATGTCCCCTCCCTCTTGAACCTCTCTCCCTATTTATCACTCTTACCTAAAATTCTTATTTGTCTGCACGGAACCCATAATGTATGTGTTCTTCATCACCCGCAAATTAGAATGTCAACTCAAAGCCAAAAAGTTGATGTGTTGTGTTCACCACTCTACCCCCAGTGCCTGGTGCCTAGCAAGCATTCAACATCCCAGACGCCTAAGTGACTTCCAAAAGGACGACATGATCTTATGCAGATGTTGATCATGTTTACCTTGGTTTCAGGGCTTGCAGATGCCCCTGCTTGCCAGCTCTTCTGCAGGGAGCCTGAGTCATAGCACCCTGGATACCCCTTCTGCAGGGTCCTCCTGGACGAACCATTTGCCAAACAGAAAAGGACTCCATGTGTCATAATGTAGAATATGTATTTATTAGATTTCAGCTTTGTTTTACAATGTAGTTTTCATGGTTTTTGCTGTAAAATGGTCCTAGCGTGTGTGCGTTTATCCTTCTCTGTAGGTGCTTGTGAAGAGCCGCAACTTGCCCCTGACGGGTTGGAACACAGAAAACCAAAGCAGATAAAATCGCCAACTCAGGCCTACATCGATCTACCTCTTTGGAAAGATGGCCAGAGAGAGAACCCAGTGGAACCCGAAAGCTGGGAGGAGGGAACCCCAGTGAGCCCTGCTGCCGACACTCCTCAGGGGAGCCCTCCAAACAGTCTGAGCAGATCCCCCCAGAGAAAGAAAACGGAGTCCGCTCTGTACGGCTGCACCATGCTGCTGGCATCGGTGGCCCTGGGCCTGGACATACGGGAGCTCACGAAAGCACAGGCTCCCGAAGACCCGTTGCCCACGGAAGACCGGAAGAAACGTGAAGGCATCTTCCAGCGGGCACCGAAGTCCCGCCGCAGTGCCAGCCCTGCAGCAAGGCCGCTGGCTGCGGGCGAGGGAGCCGGCAGCACCCCCTCGCTCCCACCGCCCACCGCTGCAAACCCCCTGTCGGCGCCTTCCCTCTGCACCAGGTGCCTGCTGCAGGCCGCCGGCGAAGACTGCTTCGAGAGCGGCGCGCACGCCTCCTGTGCCCCTCGGGCGCCCACCCCAGACCCCTGCGCTGCCTCTGGAGGGAGGGGCCGGAAGTCCACCCCCGTGCCCGGACTGGAGACCAGCCGTGACGGGCGGGGAAACCTGCCTCCCTCCTTCGCGGAGCTGACACGCGGGGGGACGGCAGCGTCTCACGCTGCTGCTTCCAGAGAGAGAGCGGCTCGTCACCGCAGGACCGTGTCCGACGGAGGCGCTCCCCGGCCCCCAGGTAGGCGGCCTTCACGGCTGACAGTACCAGACACCGCTGCAGAGACTGGACCGTGAAACTATGACTCTCTGATTCTCTTTTCCACGTGATTACATTTACAAATCTGTTTTCTCTCTTTACAGAGATCTTTGCATTTTACCCTTTCATTTGACTTTCATTTCATTTTATTCTTTGATTTGACCTTAACTAACATTTAGATTCTGGGGAAAATATAACCAAATTTCAGCAACTTAAATACTTAATAGCATATTAAAACAGAGCGAGCATGTGGAGAATAACTGCTCTAAGCCCCTCATGTTAGGAAGACAATCATTTGACAAAGTCTGAACCAATAATTAATGGGAGAGCTGCTGCTAAAACTGGTTGTCCTACCTCCCCTGTGGTATCATGTCTTCTGCATCACCTGACGTCACTGTCGAGCATGTTGAGATTGAGTTTAGGGGGTATAAAAATCAAATGGACAGTAGATGCTATGTGGGGGTTAACTACTATTTCTTTTGTATGTAAATGTGATTATAATCACGTAGGATATGAATCATGAGGATTAAGTGAGATAATGTGTATGAAAAATGCTTTTTAGATCATCAAACGTTATGCTGGGATTGGTTATAAAGTGTATTAAAACTGAAGCTTCCATGTGCTTTATCTTTTCCTTTATCTCTTTAAGTGTGCTACAAGTGGGCACAATTTTTCTCATATTATTTTTCATTGTCTTTAAATAAATTGGTTTATTGCTCTTTTATGAGGCAATAAAGTATTAGTAATTTATAATTGCACATGGTGAAATCCCACCACAGTAATCCCATAAGAACTTTTTTCCTTAATTTGAAGCCAATAGTTATCTGCTAGAGTGACTTGGAGAAGGAAATGGCAACCCACTCCAGTGTTCTTGCCTGGAGAATCCCAGGGACAGGGGAGCCTGGTGGGCTGCCGTTTATGGGGTCGCACAGAGTCAGACACGACTGAAGTGACTTAGCAGCAGCAGCAGAGCGACTTCACTTTCACTTTTATGCGTTGGAGAAGGAAATGGCAACCCACTCCAGTGTTCTTGCCTGGAGAATCCCAGGGATGGGGTCGCACAGAGTCGGACACGACTGAAGTGACTTAGCAGCAGCAGTAGCAGAGCGGTAATAGGGCTTCCCTGGTGGCTCAGCAGTGAAGAATCCCCCTGCCAATGCAAATGACCTGGGTTCAATCCCTGGGTCAGGAAGACCCCTGGAGGAGGAAATGGCAACCCACTCCAGCATTCTTGCTTGGGAAATCCCATGGACAGAGAAACTTGTCAGGCTACAGTCCGTGGGGTTGCAACGAGTCGGATGCAACTAAACAACAGAGTGGTAATAAGTCAGTTCTTCAGAACAAAACAGGGAAGGTGTAACATGTAGAAACATAGCTGCTTCCTTATTTTCATTAATTTTTTCAAATTATCACCTGAAAGTGAATTCAGTCATATTCACCATCATTTTACGCCTTAATTTTAGTCCAGTCTAATCCCATTCTGAAATCTATCCTGTTTATTAAACAATTTTAATGATCATTGTTCCGAGTATCTGATGGTGATTTAGCTCTTTACAGTTGTAGTTTCCATAGATTCAAGCAATCTTTCCAACTTTGAGGTGCTTTTCAATAAGAACAAACCTTATATCCTAACAGTTTGTAAAGTAAGGTTTGTGTTCAGGTTCTTTTGTCAAAGCTTACTTAAGGTGGTCACCTCAGTGAAGTCACCCAGTTTATTTTCCTTGATGTCCATCATTTTCAATGTCACTGTCTAATCACACACTCTCTTTGCCAGCTGGTGCAGCTCTCATCTCAGCCCCCGGAGCCTCTGAACTGCCTCCTGAGTGGGTTTGGGGGATGCCCCCCTCCCTGTCTGGACCTCACAGTGACCTGCCAAGTGAGGTCCCACCTGAGAAGCAAAGAGCTGTCCATATGGTGCCGCTGCCTCCCCCTCCCCCTCTAAGAAGCCGAGGAGGTGCCCTGCAGGCCTTCCTGCCAAGCACAGAGCCTCAGCCCTCACAGGCTGGCCCTGCCGTGGGTGGTCCAGGACCAGCCCACAGCTGTCCTCTCGGCCCCAAGAAGAGGACTCAGCCCCACGTGCCCTCCTTACTGGACACCGACGTGGAAGGCCAGAGCCGGGACCGCACGGCGCCTCTGTGCAGGATGAGAGGCAGAGTGAGCCGACCGTCTCTGCACGAACTCGAGAAAGAATTTCTGTCTTAAGTGCCTTCTTCTTCGAGCATTTCTTTTTGTTTTTTTAAGGTGAACAAATGAAAACAAGGTGTCTACCTTTTAATTGTTTCATGCTGCTGTGTTTTCAAAGCTGTGGCCGTGTTACTGAAATAGTAATGGATGTCTAACTTCTCCAGAAATGGAAGTGATTGTTGTTGGCTGACTATATTGTTTGTCCACTGGATTCTTACCTAGCAACTTGAAATACTACAATACCATAAAGCAAGAACTGTACAACAAAGTGAATCTATGTTTAAGCACAACTCTAAATGCTTTTTTTCCCATTTATATTCCTTTCTGGTATTGTTGTTCAGTCGCTAAGTCGTGTCTGACTCTTGGCGACCCCACAACACAAAAATTGTAAGTGCACCATTTTTGTTTCCTTCCTTCCTGTTGCCGTCCTTCATTTTCTATTTTCCTTTCCTTTTTATTTCTTCATTTCTTTCTTTTCTTTTGTTACTTGTGCAACAAAAGCCAAGAATAATGTGATGTTAGTGAGTAAAGGTATCTGTTTTTAAAAATTTGATAACTAGAATAGATGCAGAGTCCTATTTAAGCTACTTAAGTTCAGCAATAGGCTTATAATGCACAAGTATGTCCAAATCTTATCTAAAATATGCAATGTTTCTCTCTTTGAGAAAATTTTACTGAATGTAATTTATGAAAGTTTTAATGAATGTAACTTTAAAAAATTTTATCCATTGGAACTCCAAAATAGATTTAAAACAAATCAGTCATTAACATTTGACTTAGACCATACTGTGTACAGCTGAGACACATTATCCTGTGGGTTCTCCCTGTGAAAAAGGTCCCCCGTCAGCAGTAGCCATTGATTTGGCATCCAGAAGTGTAAAGTTTTTCCTTTTACCATGGGGTTTTTAAAAATTAATTGTGTCATGCATTGTAAACATTGATGTCATTTAATTTTTATTTTCTCTATTTAAATGCATAATCATCCCAGTAACCTCAAATACAGTGAGTGAGAAACACTGCAAAGTCAAGAAACAGCAGTACTATTAGAATTTAAGTATTTTCAAATAATAGTTATTTCACATTTCACTTAATTGTGGATAAATGTTAGATATCTGCTGGGTGAGATAAGTTGATGTCGTAGAAAGGAGAAATATAGATTATTTTCAGATGTGGATTTATAAAATGAATCTTTGGATAGCAGATCAGATTTTTAAATGATTTAAAATTATTTTATGAGTCACTTTTATGAATTATTCAGATATGCTACAAATAGACTACTGAGTTATTAAGCTATGAAATGGCTATCCAGGAGCTTGGTAAATTGTCTGGGTTCTTCTGTTAAATATATTATGCTAATCATTAGAATATGATTATTCAGATGACAGATAATAACTATCTTAAATTTTTCATACAGTGAAAAACTTTAATTGCAAATATTACTTGATACTTCATTTAAAATTTTTCCTTGGTTAAGAGTTACTGAATAATTGAAAGGTCAGCAATATAAATTAAATCAAGTGTGATAAAATATCTACCTATAGTAGATTTTTTAAAAGTAAAATTGTATTATTTAGCCATTTTGGAACATCTTAGTCATCTAACAAGTATACCCCAGCAAATAAAGAACAGGGCATGAAAGGATTATGTTAATATAAGTGCATTTTGCCCTAAAGAAAACAGTCTTGTGTTTAAGATTCTTGCAGCAAAATCTCAGGTACTTAATTACATTTTGGTGTGTTATGGTCCATTCTGTGATTTGACTTCCCTTTGGGGTAGCTGTTGAATTATGTAACAGAGATTTGGTTTCCTCAAAATTGTATCACACTTGAAACTATGGTTGAGTACTTCATACTCAGTCACTTGGAGGCATATAACTTCCAGCTAAAAGTAAAGGAAATATGTGCCTACAATAATACATGAAACACGAAATATAGAAATTATGTTTTCAATTTTGCTTCTACCAAAACCCTGTGTGTATTTGTGTGTGTGTGGCATGTGTGTGTGGTGTGGCGTGTGTGTGTGGTGTGGCATGTGTGTGTCTTTGTGTGTGTCTGTGTGGCATGTGTGTGTGGCATGGCATGTGTGTGGCATGTATGTGTCTTTGTGTGTGTGGCATGTGTGTGTGGCATGTGTGTGGTGTGGCATGTGTGTGTCTGTACGTGGCATGTGTGTGTCTGTGTGGCATGTGTGTGGTGTGGCATGTGTGTGTCTTTGTGTGTGGCGTGGTATGTGTGTGTGTGGCATGTGTGTGTGGCATGTGTGTGTCTTTGTGGCGTGGTATGTGTGTGTGGCGTGGCATGTGTGTCTTTGTGTGTGTGTGGCATGTGTGTGTGGCGTGGCATGTGAGGGTGACATGTGTGTGGCAGGTGTGTGTCTTTGTGTGTGTGTGGCATGTGTGTGTGGCATGGCATGTGTGTGTGGCATGGCATGTGTGTCTTTGTGTGTGTGGCATGTGTGTGTGCTGTGGCATGTGTGTGTGGTGTGGCATGTGTGTGGCATGTGTGTGTCTGTGTGTGGCATGTGTGTGTGGCGTGGCATGTGTGTCTTTGTGTGTGGCATGTGTGTGGCGTGGCATGTGTGTGTGGCATGGCAGGTGTATGTGGCGTGTGTGTGTGGCATGTGCGTGGCGTGGCATTTGAGGGTGGGGAGTGATGGGTGTCCATCTGTCTGGTTCCTCTACTCTGTTCTTGTTTGGCTTTATTCAGTCAACTTTACATTATGAATTTAGAAGTGAAGCTATATTAAAAAGAATTATGATAAAAGGACTCAATCTCACGTTACTGCAGATAGTTATTTTTTTCTGAGATCCACTGTACATCTGTGATTTTTTCTGTATATCAGTATAGTTAGCAGAATCTGGTTATTTATTTTCATATAGACTTAATAACTCACTGAAAGATAAACTGATTTTTATTAGTCAACAATTACGGTGCTCCCACTGCAGAGATTTGAGGCCTGGGCCTGATATGCTGTATTATGAAGCTTTGTGACTGAAAAAGATGTTTACATATGTTGTCTATTTTTTTAATAAACTTTTTTTATAGTTTATCTATTTGCTCAGTGGCTTTGGTCTACTCCTGATGATTGCGACTAGTTTGTAATAGTTTATTTTTTATTCAGTAAGGGAAAGTATGTTAATAAGATTATTAATAAGCCAGGTATTAACCTGCTAAATTGATTAAATGGAAGGATCATGAAATGAACCATGGGATTAAGTATCTTTTTTAAAGTATAATGAAATGCTTTATTTCAAATGTTTGGTTTACATGTGCATTGAAATGTTGCATTTAATTCCACTGTGAGAATTTTGCAAATCTCGCTTTTCAGAAGGCACATTTTGGCAGAGTGAATTACTGTATGAACTAAATATCAGTTGATGCTAGAGGGATGTGGTTAATGAGACATATTCATTATTAGAATGTTTAAATCAGAAGAATTTCAAAAAACAACCTAACATCTGGTGATTCTTGGTCGGCAATAAAGACTTGGGTGAATTAGGAAAGAAGCATTTCTTGCAGATCAAGGCAACAAACTATTATTTAAGAGGGAGAAAAATGTAACATCTATTGTATAGCTGCTAAGTGTTAAGACCTCTCCTAGGTGTCATATAAGACACTTCCTTTAATTCTCTTTAGCAGAGTTTGTGAGGGAGATAGTAGTATCCCTATTTTATTAGATATGAAACAGGCAGAGAAATGTGATAAACTTCCAAAAACCCACCAACATGTACCTGTTCACTGCTGTCGTATAGTACAGAAGATGGACACATCTGCAGGGTGACTTTGTAAATGGAATCCAAAGTTAAGGTAATTTTTCACTCATCAAAAAGTTCAAAATTCTAAGGTTCTCCCTGGTGGTCAAGTGGTTAAGACTTGGAGCTTCCAAAGCAGGGTCAGTTTCAATCCCTGGCCAGGGAACTAAGATCCCATATTCCATGCGGGTGGTCAAGATATTAAGAAAAAAAAATTTTTAATTCTAGAAATGGATGAGTTCTTACTTAAAGACAAAGCTAACAGTGTAATATGGTGGGATACTTCCTAAGTAATTGTAAAATGAAAGTACTACAAACTTCATATCTAATAGATCAACTCAGATAAAAGTAGGATTCTGTTCGATGGTTTTTTTTTTCTTTTTCAATGGATTTATAAGTATGGTGAAATTATTTAAGAACTGCAATATGAATATAAAATACTTGGACTTAAGCTGTCTGTACTCTTCTGAAAGGGTCAATATGCTAAAACATGAGACTTATAGGTGAAACAATATAATAAGTACCATACAGCAGAGCAAAATTTTGTTGTTGTTTAGCAAAAACTAAATTGAATTAAGGACTTTCCATAGCCACTGGGAAAAACTAAAGGAATTCAGTGATGAGCAAGAGAGACACCAACTGTGTACTTTGCTGCATGGTTCTTAAGATCCAAGAAGACAGACACTGAGAAGCTAAGCAGGGCCAGTTTTGTGGGTCCATGGCTTTGGCGTCACATTCGGAATAGTCCCTGAGCTCGATTTTAATGCTTTGCTAACACCATCTTGAAATCCTTAAGAGATCTTGAACATGAGACCCCTCATTTTTATTTTGCACTGGGCTTGACAAATTCTGCGGCCAAACCTGACTACCAGGCTCCCCCTGTGGCTCAAATGGTAAAGAATCTGCCTGCAGTGCAGCAGCCCTGGGTTCAGTCTCTGGGTTGGGAAGATCCCCTGGAGAAAGGTAATAGCAATCCACTCCAGTGTTCTTGCCTGGAGAATCCCCATAGACAGAGGCGCCTGGCAGGCCACAGTCCATGGGGTCACAAAAAGTTGGACACGCGTGACTAACACACACACTGACAACAAGTGAAGAGAGTGTTATAAAAGGTGAAGTTGCTGCTTAGTAGCACTTCAGAGCAGACCTGTCCGGGGTGTTCAGAAACCAGCACCTCTGCTGGGTGAGAGGAGATCCCTGGAGAGTTGCTAGCTTGTGACTCAAGTCATGTTTCTCTTGATAGTTTCAGGATTTCTTCTTTGCCTTTCAGCATTTTTACCATGGTCTGTCTTGGTGTAGATCTCTTGGAGTTTTTTAATTTCTTGGATGTGTAGTTTTTTTTCAGCAAATTTGCGGTTTTCAGCCATAATTTCTTCAAATATTTTTTTTGCTCCTTTTACTCTCTCCTGGGACTCTTTTTACACCTAAAGTGGTGTACTCACTGGTGTCCCACATTTCTCTAAGGCTCTGTTCATTTTTATTCATTCTTCTCTTTCTGTTTTCAGATTACATAATCTATATTGAGGGCAAGAAGAGAAGGGGGCAACATGAGATGCTTGGATGGCATCATCGACTCAATGGACAAACTCAGAGAGAGAGTGAACAACAGGGAAGCCTGGCATGCTGCAGTCCATGGGGTCAGACACAACTTGGCGACTGAACAATCTCTAGTGATTTCAAATTCTCTTACCTTTCTTCAGCACCAATCTACTGTCAAACCCTTCTAATGACTTTTCTTTTTCATTTTAATTATTGTGTTTTCAGCTCCATAATTTCCATTTGATTCTTTTCAAAAACTTTTCTCTCTTCCTTGATAATCTTTTTGATGAAACATCATCATTATCCCTTCCTTCTTTAAGTGTGTTTTTCTTTAACTCATTGAACAAACTCATAATAGCACTTTGAAGTCTATTAAATCTGACATCTGGACCTTTTCACATGCCATCTCTATTGCCTCTGTTCCCCCCAATATATGGATCATACTTTTCTGGGTTTTTTTTTTTAATGTCTCATTTTTTTTGTTGTTGAAAATTGGACATTTTAGGTAATATGTTGTAGCAACTATGGATAATGATGACTGCTTTTAGCAGTTGTGCTTGTTGCCTTGGAGAGTCGGTACTCAGAGCCCCTCATACAACCAGCCCATAACGGAACATCTTTATTAACATTTTGCAAAGCTGCTCAAACTCCTGAAGCATTTTGTCCTGTTGTTTCATGGGACACCACACATCTGAAATCATGTTGTTTATCTCATGACTCTAAAAGCATTTCAAGGCAGGTCCCTCTCAGTTTTCTATCTCTAGCCCTGTTTTAATCTTTCCAATTTTAGTATATGTGCTGCCGAAGCAAGCACTTGTTCTAATCTTAGAGCTCCATTTGTACATATTCTGCTGCTTATTTATCATCTCTCTTTAGATATCTAAGAGATATCTTTCATCCTGAACATGGCCCAAATAAAACTTGCGATTCACCTCCTTCCCTAAATTTGCTCTTCACTAGTCCTCTTCTTAGTAAACGGCACTTAGTAAAGACTAGTCAGTTGGAGGCCTACACTGACTAGTCTTTAAAGTATCAACATCATGAATGCATCTGTATCACCCACAGTGGTTCAACAACCACTTATAGGATAATTGGCTGAATCATTCCCATTTTACAGATGAAGAAACTGAAACTTAAAGAAATTAAGTAAATTGCTGGATTGGCCCTTTTAGATGACAGGAAAAAATGTTTCTTAAATGTTAACTAGCTGGTTTTCAATAAATGTTATTGTTAACATCAAAGGATAATTGAAAGAAAGTAATATAAAGTGTAACTGGAGTGGGACTTTGGAAATATCATAAAGGAGTTTGATTACTTGTCTAAAGATTTGGCACTATATTTTGCCTTTAAAAAAGCCATTGGGGTTCTCCAAAGGACCAGAACAAATAGGATATCCATACATGTTTTTCAGAGAGAGGGAGATTTTTTTTTAAGGAATTGTTTCATACGATCGTAGGGACTAGCAAGGTGGAACTCTGCAGTAGCCTGGCAGACTGGAGACCTGGCGCAGGGCTGATGCTGCAGCTGGAGTCTGAAGGCCATCTAGAGGCAGAATCCTGAGACCAGGGTGTTGGCTGGATTGGTTTCTTCTTCTTTGTTTTGAATTCAGTTTATTTATTTTTTAGAAGTCTTTATGGAATTTGCTATAATATTGCTCCTGTTTTATGTTTTTATTTTTTTAATTTTAAATTTATTTATGTTTTAAATTGAAGGATAATTTCTTTGCAGAATTGTGTTGGTTTCTGCCAACACCAACATGAATCATTCGTATATGTTTTTATTTTTTGTCCTTGAGTTGTGGGATCCTAGCTTCCCTACCAGGGGTTGAACCCACACCCCCTGCACTGGACCACCAGGGGAGCCCCAGGGTTGGTTTCTTCTGAAGCCTCTCTCCTCAACTTTCAGGTCTTCTTACTGTGTCTTCCTATAGCCTTCCCTCTGTGCATGTCTCTTTCCCCAATTTCCTCTTCTATTAAGGATACAATCAGGTGAGAGCCTGCTCCAATGACTCATTTTAACTTGATTACCTCTGGAAAGACTCCATCTCCAAGTACAGTCATATTCTGTGGTACTGGGTATCATGCCTCTGAACCCATTGGCCTGCAAGCCTATACTTGCCCAATCTCAAGAAAGAGCCCTGGGAGAACCGGGCAATGGGGGAGGAATAAGACGGGGAGATCGCCTGCCTCCCTACAAATACATTAAAAGCTCATCAGAATATGGAATAGCTCCTAGAGAGCAACTTCTAAGTGACAGCAGAAGACCCCAGGCCTCCAAAATGGCAAGCTAATCTCCTAGGAATGACAAATGAAACCAATATTGTAAAGCAATTATCCTTCAATTAAAAATAAATAAATTAAAAAACTTAAAATAAAAAAAAAGAGCCCTGGAGGCACCAACAGAAATATCCATGGCTTAATGAATGAGTAGGGATC